TAGCCCACATGGGTCTGCAATCCCCTCATCTTTATAATAAACATTTCAAACTTAAGATGACAAAACTATTTTTTGCATGCTAATTTTATAACCTGTGACTTTGCGGAATAGCTATGTTAGTCCTGAAAGTTTTCTGAAGTAGTGTTTAGGTTTCTCCGTATAGAACATTACACGATCTGAAGTCCTATTTTCATTTTTTTTTCTCTCCAATTTTGACACCATTTGTTTCTTTCTCTTCCTTAATTAAGTTAATTCCAGTACTACCTTGATTAAGAGTGGCAAAAGTGGACATTTTTATGTTGCTTAAAATCTGAGGGTACATTTTTTCATTTACTAATCTTACATCATAATTTTGGAGGACAAAGACAAGATCATTTAATTTGTTATGAACTAAAAGGAAACTGAGCTAAGAATGTGATAAAAAGAGATAAAATCTTACAACTTTTTGTATCAATCACTTAATTTATTCTCTTTTAAACTATGTAGCTTGATAGTTAAGCTATTGGTTTAAAGCAATGCTAAGAAACTCTGGACTTGCTATTCTGTGATGTACCAGGGTATGAAGTCACAAAAACATGATCATATCTTCATCCGATATGGGCCTAGGCTTCTCTTCCCTGCACTTAGAAGCCTGACAACATGGAACTACAACTCAATGTGTACTCACTGAAAATTTAAAACAGTGACCAATAATGAGAATTAGCTTGGGGGCTTTGTTCAAATGGAGATTTATTGATCTCTTGGCAAACAAATGAGAACTATTTCAAACTGAGTCTACTGAATTTTATCAACTTTACAACTGACAGTCTCTCTTGGACCCTGTTATGAAATCCTCAAAATGTATTTTTCCTAGGAACAAAATCAGGTTGGATGGTTTCTACTGTGTCTTCAATGAAGATATGGATGGTGTGAATGTTTTCACTGGCTTCTGTATAGGAAGAAAATATGATTCTGCTTCATGATTATTGATATTTACAGACACTATTTCCATCTTCTGCATCAAGCATTCAAGTAATAGTAAACTTTGAACAACTTCAAGTATCTGCTTATCTTAACTTCTTAGTAACTTATACATTTTCCCATCAATGGAAACACTTTACAAAACTTGAAGCTAAAAAGTTAAAATTAAAGAATAATTAAATAGGTGTTATTTAAGATCATGACACATTCTAAAAGAAAAACAAAAATTAATATTTTGTGGTGCTACATGTCCTTTCAAATGTAAATAAGTATCTTTTATTCCTTCAATCAATAATAAACATTCATCAGTGGATAAGTGTTTAAATGATTAAGGGTGCAAAACTTGGTATAGTGCATTAAAACTAAAATAGCATTTTCAACCAAACCAAATTCCATTAGAAAATAAATCAAATTATTTCCAAGTACACCTTTAGTTATAAAGAAAATGTTTCATGTTTCTAAAAGATAATACAGACGCATCTGTTAAAATAATTTAAAGTGCCGGTTCAATTCTATTATAGAACAAGAGGTATAAATTATTTCCATAGTAACAAAGTTAACTAAAACCATAGCAAACATGAATCAAACTGAATCTTTCACTAAATTAAAAATGTGAATTTTATAACAAATCTGAAGCCCAAAGGAAAAAAAGAAAAAGATTTCTCTAACCTTGGTCAAATATTCATCCATGCTGTTATTTGATGGCTGTGCTCCTGAGACAGGAATCACCAAGTTCTCTTTCACAACAAGATTTCTGTTGAGCACTAAGTTGTTCTCAGGATTCCCACAGCAAGGCACCTCTGGGACAGGCCTCACCGTCAGAGCACTGAGCAGTGATCTCTTCAGTTTCTTCTCTCTACGAAGGTCCTTGCTCACTGCTGCTAGTCTCAGTGCTGTGAGTGGTTCAAAAAACACTTTACCCCGTTGACCCTAGTAATCCCTAAATGTCTTGCATTTTAAAAAAGATTTACTAATTGGAGAAGCAGAGTTACAGACAGAGTGAAGAGAGACAGAGATACATCTTCCATCCACTGGTTCACTCCCCAAATCACCGCAATGGCTGGAGGAGTTGGCCCAGGCCAAAACTAGGAGCCTGGAATTGCATCAGGACCTCCCATGTTGATGACTGGAACATCTCCTACTGTGTTAGCAGGGAGCTAGCTAAGAACCACAAAAGCTGGGATCCTATATGGGTGCCTGTTCTAATCCCAGCAGCTCCACTTCCCATCCAGCTCCCTACTTGTGGCCTGGGACCCTGCACCCGTGTGGTATACCTGGAAGAAGTTCCTGGCTCTTGGTTCAGATCAGCACAGCACCAATCATTGCACTCATTTGGGGAGTGAATCATCAAATGGAAGATCTTCCTCTCTGTCTCTCCTCCTCTCTGTATATCTGACTTTCCAATAAATAAACAAATCTTAAAAAAAAAAAAAAAGAGGCACAAAAGTCAAGGCTCAAACCAATGCTCATGTGGGATGCCAGCATCAGAGACAGCAGATTAAGCCACTGAACCACAGTGCACACAAACAGGTGGAATCTTCCATTAAACAATGTTTCAATGTAAAATGTGTCAGAGCACGCAAGTAATATAAAGTTTACAGGTTTGTAAATTCTTCCAAGGCAGTTCATGTGCCTTTTCTAATGAACAACTAAAATAAGCAGGAGTAATAAATGACTGTTAATGATGTATGGCTGGCCTAGTGACTCTTGCTTAGAACATCTTTACTTAGAAGATTCTTTTGGGTGAGGTCAGCAATATTAATATTTCAGACTAATATGTGAGATAATGGGCCTGTTAACTGTATGAACTATAATAACCTTTTTGCAATTAAATATATCAACACATTATGGTCAACACATTGAAAACATACTAAAAGTCTTTTAAATATTTTTTTCACTTTTATGTTTTGCTATTTGAAGTGTATAGCTTTAAAAGGCCCGGGGATGGAGAGAGAGAGAGAAAGGAGAGAGAAGAAAAGGGAGACAGAGAGATTAAATCCATATGTGGTTCCACTTCCGAAATGCCTGCAACCAGAATTGGGCCAGGTTGAAACCAAAAGCCTATAATCTCATTTGGGTCTCCAATACCCATGTAGGGTGCTAAGCAGTGGGGTCATTATCTGGCATCTTCCCACAATACAGTAACAGGAAACTGGATCAGAAGTGGAAGAGCTAAGATTCAAACTGGCACTCTCATACAGAATGCACCCACTGTACCACCATCTAACCCTCAAAATCTTTGTAAAAAGGCTAGAAACACTTGTGAATTTAGTTAAATTAGATCAAAAAAATTAAAATTCCTCAAACATATTTTCAAGCATTTGTTTTTAGCACTTTGCAGTTCATTCTTTACCTTGGGAATATAAACATTTAACACTATAGCCATTTAGGGTAGCAACCTCTTGGGCAAATGGTTAGCTAAGCTGATGTAGAAAAAGAACTAGAGCAGCACCAAAGACAATTAGCTCATTAGCCATGGTATCAAAGGTGGGAACTAAACTTTCTGTCATTTACTCCTCCTCACACTGACAAAGGTTCAATTTATTTCTTAAATTCTTTATTTGAAATACAAACAAAGCAGGGCTGGTATTGTGGCACAGCATGTTAAGTTACGTACTGTGACACATCCCACCTGGTCACTGGCTTAAGTCCTGAATGCTCAACTTCTGATCCAGATCCCTGCCAATGTGCCTGGAGATCCTGGTTCCCGGCTACAGGCTACCCCGCCTTGGCCATTGTAGCTACTTAAGGAATGAACCACTGAATGAAGATGTCTCCCTCTCTGGCTCTTCTTCTTTGAAGATTTATTTATTTTTGTTGGGAAGTTGGATATACAGAGACGGGGAGAAACAGAGAGGAAGATCTTCTACCCACTGATTCACTCCCAAAATGGTCACAACAGCCAGAGCTGTGCCATTCCAAAGCTAAGTTCTCTCTGGTTCTCTCACATGGGTGCAGGGTACCAAGGCTTTGGGCCATCCTCAATTGCTTTCCCAAGCCATAAGCAGGGAGATGGATGGGAAGTGGGGCTTCCAGGATTAGAACTTGCACTTTAACAGTTAGGTCACCACACCAGACCCTCTGGTTCTCCTTTTATTTGACTCTTTCAAATAAAAAAAATACTAGAAATAAAGAAAATAAAGTATTCGTTTACTTATTTACTTCAAAGACAGGGAGAAAAGGAGAGACAGAGAGAACTTACATTTGTGGGTTCACTCCCCAAATACCAGCTACTGCCAGAGGCACACCACAACAAAATCAAGAGTCAGGAATTTCATCAAGTGTCTCCCTAATGTGGGGGTGATTCACTTTGACTGTCAACAGCCTCCAAGCCTTAGGAACTGGATCAGAAACAGAAGAAGGCCTCCTTCTGCAGCATACTGACATTGGCTACTCAGGCACCTAAATGGCAACCCAAACTGCCACATTGTAATATTTGCCCCAGGGTTTTATTATTAACCCTTCCCTATTTCAGGAGTTGGCAGACCCAGAAGGATAATTTTTCTCAAGGCACCCTTCAGTGACAACACCAAGGATGACAATTAGAGAACATTAACTTATTCTCGCTTCTCGGCCTTTTGGCTAAGATCAAGTGTGAGAACATTAACGTACTGAAGGCCAGATTGTGCCAAGAACAATAGTTGCACTTGGCATTTTGGATTTGAGTCCCGAGACTCTGAAAGACATTTAACCTAATATGAAGTGTCTTATCATCTCTTGAAAGAGTGAGCAGTGACACAAATAGAGAGACCTTCTAGCCAAAGTCATTTTACAAGGGCTTACAACAGCCAGAGATGGGCCAGGCCAAGCCAGTTTCCTGAAATCCCAATTGAGCCTTCCAAGTGGTGTCAGTGAGCCAAGTATATGACCCAATATTTGGTACTTCCTTAGGTGAACATTATCAGGCATCCGGAACAGAAGCTGAGTTACTGGGACATGGACTGCAAGTACCCAAGTAATCACCTGAGCACTGCACCAAATATTCAGCTCTGGATTGAAATAATTTCCAGCAGTATTTAGTCCACTTAGAATTCTTATTCTACTAACCTTACAAGTCCATCTCTAAAACATGATGGCTTAGAGGTAAATAAATATGATTAACTTATTTTATAGTATTCACGGCTTAGCTTACTCATTTAATTCGCTTGACAATGATCTCTTAGCTTCTAATTCTTCTTGATAGAATAGTTTATATTTTTCCAATTCTATAATATTAGCATGTTGAAAGTTTTCATTTTAGAGAGTTCACATTCTAGATCATTAATTTTGACTTCCATGTGACTCCTTATGGTAGAATCATTATTCTCTCTTAACTGATTTATATTTCCTGAGATGCTGACTGTGCCTAAATAAAATCAGAAAAATATGCCTTAAGATAATTATACTCTGGATAAATTGTTGCATATTTGTTTCTTCATTTTTCACTCAGTGATTCTGAGAACAGTCTTATAGATGTGAACAATAGATAACATCTAAAATATTTATCTTTACTATACACTGAAGTAATTTTGAGCTACAATAAAACCTGAACTTCTCCTGCTAGTGCTCATATAATTTTATAATTCACAGAATAAAATTTAATTAAAAATTTAAAAACTGAACAGTGTCACATAAGAGCAATAATTTCTAAATACTGTCTGACTTTATGCCAACTAATCCTAATAATCAAATGAAAACTATAATTTCAACATACTGCTTGGTTCTAATAATCATGAAATTAAAGAAAATTATAATTTAGAAAGATCAGCTTGGTTCCAATAATCATGAAACTTAAACAGTTAAAATAATTAACATGCTGCTTCTCTTCTAGAAATCTACCAAACATAATAGTATAAAGAAAATATGGGAAATATGCACAATATCCTCAGGTATATCCAAATCGTAAGTTTCAGTGAACAAATTGGACACACTATGAATACATAATTCACCTGTAAAAACAGATTCACTTCTTTTAATCTGTCTACAATGTACTGCCTTGCTTCTTCTTCAAGTTCCTGTTTATACAACACTATTTGACCATGTTCTGTCATATTCATTTCTATATAACTTCTCAAGTTTACTACTGTCTGTTGCAATTGATTTTTCTCTTCTTTCAGTTTTTTATATTTCTTTTCAATCGCTTTCAAAGATATCAACTGTTGTTGAAGAGCTTCATTCATTGTATACAGATGTTGAAATTTTGAAGACGCAGTATCCAATTTTGTTCTAAGATCATCAGTCTGCATGAATAAAATAATATAGGTCAGTAATAGAAATCTTAGGCTGAATCAGTATATTACAAAAATGGTGAGACATTTTGAAATAAATCCAAAGACAGTAAAATACATTCTATTAATTCATATAGTAACCGTGAGCTACTTATTCAAAATATCAGCAAAGCAAAAACCACCAAGAATCACAACATGTATTCTTTATTCTCATTGTATCTGCCATGTTTCCTTTTTGTTTGGTCTTAAACTTTTGTTTCCTATCATTGTTTCAGGTCTTTCTCATTTAAGATGATTCTAAGTCACACTTAAAAAGTGGGGAGAGGGGCTAGCACTCTGGTACATCTGGCTAAGCAAATGCCTGAGATTGCTAACATCCTATACGGACACCAGGCTGAGGTCCTGCATGATCTTCTTCCAATCAGGCTCCCTGTTAATGTGTCTGAAAAAACATTGGAAGATTGCTCAAATCTTTTGGTCCTGGCATCCATGTGGGAGACCCAGATAAAGTTCTAGGCTCCACGTCTGGCACAGCACCAGCCAGATCCTTTAGGAAGCAAACCACAGGATAGAAGACATCTCTGTGTATTTCCCCTTCTGTCTGTAGCTCTGCCTTTCAAAGCAATACATAAACCTTTAAATAAATAGAAAAATCCACTGCTTATATTAATATCACAATAATATCA